GCTTCGTGGCTCTCCATAGAACATATGGTCACAACACGGTGGTATTAGCATGATCTGAGGGTGGAGTTTTCACTCCCCCTCATGTCAAAGGGTCACCTATCAGTCATCTTGGCAGGCCCAGTTGATGAGTTAGTGGTCTTAACAAACCTGAACTGGACAAAGAATCAACTTTCAGTTTCTGAAAATCTTAAGTACCTGTTACTATGGCGACACAAACATCAGAGATGGTGTCTATAGGGTGGGTTTTAGTAACACATTATCTAACTACTTTTGCAAACTGACAACTAACTGAGTACAGTTAAAGCAAGTTGGCCCCCAGTTTCAATAGAGTCATCAAAGAATTAGCAGAGGCCAGAACATGAAAGACCATAGAATTTACACTTTTATCTTGGGGACTACTCAATGATGGAAACAGGAAGGCAACTAATCACATCTGCCTCTTTTAGAAATCCCTCTTAGGGCGGCCCGGTGGTGCAGTGGTTAAGTTCACACATTCTGCTTCTCGGCGGCCTGGGGTTCACTGGTTCGGATCCTGGGTGAGGATATGGTACCGCTTGGCAAGCCATGCTGTGGTAGGCATCCCACGTAGAAAGTAGAGGAAGATGGGCATGAATGTTAGCTCAGGGCCAGGCTTCCTCAGCAAAAAGAGGAGGACTGGCAGTAGTTAGCTCAGGGCTAATCTTCCTAAAAAATAAATAAATAAAAGAAATCCCTCTCTCTGAAGCTTGGAGGACAAATTAGAAAGGGTGAGAATCAGGGGCAGGAGGTCTATGAGGAAGCTGCTGTGCAATCCAGGTGAGAAATGATGGTGGCCTGGGCTGAGGTGGATGGGGTGCTGGTAACTAAAAAGAAGCACAGATTCAAGTGGTATTCCAGAAATAGCATGCACAAGACTCAGTGGCTAGTGGAAGGTGGAAAATGAGGAAGAGAAAGGAGTCATTCATGTTTCCTGGCTTTCCAGCAATACATGAGATCCCATTACCAAGAAAGGAAAGGTAGAAGGAAGAGGAGCTTGAGAGAGAAAGCTGAGGCTGTTGTCGTTTGGAGTTTGCTCTGCTGGAGAGACCTGGAGTAAGAATGTCCAGAATGCAACTGGATAGAGTGTTCTAGAGTGTCAGAGTTTGGTCCAGGCCAGAGAAAGGTTTAGGAATTTTCAGGTGAAATACACATGGCAAGTGAAGCCTTGGGAATGGGTGAGAGCACACTGGAAGGGAGCAGAATTTTCCACCCCCCAAATTTGTCTCTTTGGCATAAAGATTATTTTAGGCTCATTATTTTTAAGAAACTGTGGACACAAGAAAAGCTCTGAAAACCAAGTAGAAGTTGCCTTTATGTAAGGCATTTACATTTGTAAGGCAAATCCCCCGTTTGTAAAGGCACCTCCCTTACTGTGTGGGGAAAAGGAGGATGACTTTATCTCTAGAAGGCAAGACTTAAAGCTGCGTAACAACCTTAGTCTTGTTTAGTGTGCTTTTCCTGGTAACCTTCCATAAATGACTCTCCACCTCAACAGACACTTTTGTCTTTAGCTGAAGATGGTATTTAAGGTGAGGGCTTCCACCATTTCAGGGAGTTACTCAGTTTTCCTTGGTCTCTCCCATGTATACATGTTATTAAACTTCTGTCTTTCTCCTGTTATTCTATCTTATGTCAATTTAATTATTAGGCCAGTTGAAGGACCTAGAAGGACAGAAGGAAAATTTTTCCTCCCTGATAATGCCAAAGAGAGGATACAAAGTAAGACCAAAAAAAGAGCATGGATAGAGGCCTGAGGAAAAGCAGGTAGATAGAGGACTAATGCCTATATCTTTCCAGGAACCAGGCCACTGCTGGTCTCAGCTCCCTCCTCAACACAGTCTTATAATTCTCATATTCCTCTCACAATTACATGGGATTCAACTTCCTCTCCCCTGTTAGACTGCAACCGGGAGAACACTGCTATTTATTTGTAACTTTTGTCACTTGTCCCATAAGGATTTTGATACCAGTTCCAGTATGAGTATGTGTGTGTGTGTGTGTGGAGGGGGATCCCCACACCACCAAGCAATTCTCAGACCCCAGGGGGGTGTCCTACACTTCAACTCAATTCTGAACACTATCTACTGGAGATAGCATCAGATTCCACACGTTAAGGGCTCAGTCCCACAAGACTGCCCTCCACTTCAGATGTCAATTGCAAGTCCAAGTTGTCAACCATACTTCTGACCAATTGGTGATATATCAGAGGTTCCCACTTCCTCCTTGGATTCAATTATTTTGCTAGAGTGGCTCACAGAACTCAAGAAACCCATTTAGTCACTAGATTACTGGTTTATTACAAAGGATATTGAAGGATATGAATCAGTAGCCAGAGGAAGAGATATACAGGGCAAGGTCCCTGTCAACCTACAAAACCAGAAACCAGCTTAAGAGGCAAAGAGTTTATTTGGGATCAAAGAATAGCAATTTGGGGAGCACAGATTCAGGTATAAACCCAAATAGTGTCCAGCTTACAGGTGAGGGGTTTAGGGATTTTTTTGGGAAAATGGAGGAAGATGAAGTAAGTTATCTTAAAGAAGAGTACATTGATACTAGATGAGGTAAGGCTAGGTTTCTACTTTATAGATAGACTTGAGATTCAGTCATCAGGCAAAAAGGACAGACTTGTACTTCATTGATTGATTAGCAATTTGATCATCAGCAAAGTCAAATTTCATCAATCCTTACGCAGGGTATTCTTGTTCCTACTGACTTCTTGGAATGCTGGCAATGTGGTCCAGTTTGGAAGATTAAAAAAACAAGACGTGCAAGGCAATTCCTCTGAAATGGTTGCTCTGGCTCTAATGTAATATGGCTCCACTCATGTCCTCTTTCATGTCCCAAACAAATGATCTTCTGTCCTTGTGGAGTTTGGGGACTGGCATGGTAGTGTGTGGAAGTGTTCTGGTCCCCCGATGTGGAAGCCTTCCAAACTCCCTCCTTCTAGGTTCTTATCCTGGCTTCATTACATAGACATTATTAATTAAATAATTAGCCATTGGTGATTGGTTCAACCTCCAGCCCCTCTGCCCTTTCCAGAGGTAGCAGGATGGGACTGAAAGTTACAACCCACTAATCACACAGCTGGCTCCACTGGCAACCATCCCCCATCCTTAGGTGCTTTCCAAAAGTCATCTTATTAACAAAACAAAAAAAACCACCTTTATTGAACTCATCATTTAGGAAATTCCAAGGTTTTGGGAACTCTGTGACAGAAATGGGACAAAGACCAAATGTGTATTTCCTATTATAAATCACAATATTACATCCCATCTAATGACTATTTTTCTTGGAGAAAGTATTTTACAAATCAACCATATTAATTTGTCAGTGTTTGTTTTTAAGATATAGAAAGAAAGCAGATGATAATATTGGTAATGTCTTCTCCCTTCCCTCCTTTCCTCTAGCACCATTCAACATATAGAAACGTGAGAGTTGATGGACTGACTCAACAATGAAGACACTGCCAAGCAGGCCTGAGCCAGGCATACAAATGAGGAATTCACACTTTCAAATAGTGTTCCAGATCCATCATATTGACTTCTCTAAAGGAAATAAAATATAGCACTGTGCCCCAGAAACTCTTTGTCAAATTGTTGTGCATATTTATATAAAGATTGTTATATTTTTAGTTGGAAGGAGGTAGGTTTTGTTGAGGAGGAAAGATTTTTCCTCTATCCTTCTAGGTTCTTCTGGCTAGTCCAGAATTATATTGACATGAGACAGATTAATGTGAGAAAAACAAATGTAATTACATACATACAGAGCCCCATAAGAATAGGAGACCCATTGAAGCTTATATACCCGTCCTGAGTTAAGGAGAAGGAGGCGGGGGTCTGAGACTTCAAAAAGGAGGAAGACAACTCACAGGAAGATGGAAAGAGCAAATGTTTGATAAACAAATGTTTGCCATACCATGCAGAGACAAAGGGACACAGAGAGAAATGTGAGCAAACAGGCCTTGCTCAGTTTCCCCCAGTTTCTCACATGTAGCCCGTATTCTTTGCAGTTATCTCTGGTAATAGCTCTCTTCTTGTTACCAGCCTTCTATATAAATTTTTTTAGGCAGCTGAGGGAGAGGTAAAGAAAAAATTCCTGAGTCTGCTGTTTCTTAAAAATAATCAGCCTCGATCCAGCCCTGATGGCCTAGTGGTTAAAGTTCAACGTGCTCCATGTCAGTGGCCCAGGTTCAGTGCCTGGGTACAGAACCACACCTCCTGTCTGGCAGTAGCTGTGCTGTGGTGTCGGCAGCTCACACAGAAGCAGCAGAACTTCTAACTATACACAACTATGTACAGGGCCTTTTGGGGTGAAAGGAAGAAAAATGAAGGAAGATTGGAAACAGATGCTAGCTTAGGGTGAATCATCCCCTGACAAAAAAAAGAATAATAACAATAATAATCAGCTTAAAATAATTCTCTTGCCAAAGAGACATATTTTGGGGTGGCAAATTTTGCTCCCCTACAGTTTTTTCTCAGTTTCTATGGTAAATTGCTTGTAAAGTCTGCATTGCATGATTAAAGTAATAACACTGAATTGGCCAATTTGCCCAAGTAGAAAATGCACCCCATTGCCAGGTTTTAAAATACATTCACCTTTCATAAACAGAACCACACTAATGGAAAAGATGGAAGACTATTTTTTTTTAATTTACCATCCTCAAACATGAAGTTAAAGTCCCCAGTCCTACTTGCCTCCCAACTGCAGTTTCCTGGAGCAATGGGTCCACGTCTACTCAGCTTGGGGCCAGTAGGGAAGGGAACAGGACCTCCCCTCAGAACTCAGCTCATCTTAGACCTGTACTGTCCGCCATGGGGCCCAAGAGCCACTCATGGTTACTGGGCACTTGAAATGCAATGAGTCCAAATTGAGATGTGCTATAAGTACAAAACACATGCTGGATTTGGAAGAATACAAAGTACTTTTATGTTGATTACGTGTGGAATGACAACGTTTTTGATATATGCGCTTAATTCTCTCACCTTTCCATTCAGCCATTCATTCACTTATTCATATTATATTCCATTCCTTTGGAGGCCTATCATTTTTGCCTCTAGAATATCTTGAAGACCTTCTTGACTAAAGTAGAGAGTTTGGTAACAGGAGCTGAAGAAGCCAGGTTTTGAATGGGAGGGTAGACAGCACTCTGATCTGGAGAAAGAAAATAGAAAAGAGGTCAGGGAAGGCAGACAAGGAATGTATGAGAGCAAGAGACAGGACCAATATTCGGGTTCTATCCAAGAGCTTCCTCCTCCTTATTTTTTATGCATATGGACCCGTAAGGCTTTTTTTAAGGAAAGTTTGCCCAGAAGTTAGATGGGAACTCTTCTCACTATGCATCATTCCTGTCAGTGCTTCTTGGCACCTCATTAGCATTCAAGGCCTGAGAGAATTTGCCACCAAAAAAAAATTGAATTAATGGTTAGAAGGGAGTTGTTATCAATTCCTGTTCTTTTTTATCAAGTCAGGGAGCAAATTATTCTAATTTATCAAAGGCATGGGAAATGAGCATGATAGTGATGGGGTTCAGGACCTGCTACCCTAAAATATGGCACCTTGGCATATTGAATATTTTCAGCTGAAGGAGTTTGAGAAAACAGCAGAAGCAGGAACATCACTCTGACCTTCCCCCACTTTCTCCCTCGAAACTGGTCATAAAACTCTCCTGTGAGAGGTGCCCTCCCTATGCCCAGAGGAAAGGACCATCCTTATCTCTGAAGATAAAGGGATGCTGAGAGGAATGTGAACAGACAGGCCTTGCTAAGTCTCCCCCAGCTTCCTCACGACCTCCTGCTCCTTACCTGTCACAGTTCTACAGGACTGTCCACTCCTCGTCAAGCCTGCACAAAAATGCTCAGGTTGAACTGTTTCTTTGGGTCTTCATTTCCTTCCACAGGCCCCTGTGTCACTTAAAACTTATATTAAATAAATCTATAGGCTTTTCTCCTGTTAATCTGTCTTTGTCAGTTGAATTTTGAGACTCAGCCAGGCCCCTAAGAGGGTTGAGGAAGACTTTTTCCTCCCCTACAATAGATTCTTAAAAGGTATCGAAATCTGATTTTCTTTTGGGCTGACTTGGGGCTGAGTCGTCTCCTGTGTAAAAATCATGTGCGGGTCTCTCCCTGGATGCGCAGGATGAAGTCTTTTTAACAAGGTTCTGTTGAGTTGTTTGCATCTTTTGAAAGAACCCCTTAGAGACTGAGTTACTCAGAACTAAAATTAGCTGCAGCCTCTCACTTCCTAGATTCATCATAACCCTGCACAGCACAGGGAGCCGTTGGTAGGCATCCTCATCTCCCTGGATTGACCTCTTTGCCATTCTCCTTATCATTATGGCAAAGCACATTTCCTGCCTAGGGAGGAGACACAAAACCATTCCAAGTCAGCAAAATTGCCCAGAGGAGATAAGACTGCACTGCATTAACCTTCATACCCAATACACTCCTGGCTCCAAGAGGAGGGAAAACAAGACTCAAATTAATTTGGGTTATTACTGACATAGGGCAGTTCACAGCTTTTGGGTTGAGTCTTCCCTCCCAGGGCTGGACATCTCCTGCAAAGCTTTCTCTGGGATAAAGGGGCAGGTGGGTTGTGCAGCTTACTTCTGACTCTAAGATTTAAGGGACAAAAGCATCTTGCAGTAATTGTCAGCCACTTGGCTTTTTCAAATGCTTCCACAAAAGCACTGTAAAGGCAGACCATGGCAGGAGCCTAAGTAAGCCATGGACGAAGGGCTTGGCAGGGATAATTGGTCACACATAAATGCCACACTTGTACCCAGTAAAGTTGAACTGGCCATAAATCAATTGGGCAATAACATATTTAGCTTTTCTTTAGTGAGTAAATATGAGAGAAAGGGCATGATATCTCCAAAGCTAGAAATAGGAAGAAATAGAGTGTTTGCCATATGCTTTTCCCTATATTATCACCATCCAACCAGCATATTAAAAAGCCATCAATCTATCCACTTTGTACTAGTGTTTATCATTTCTTGTTGTAGGTCATTGGGATCCATCTCTCTGAGGTCTCTCTGTTCCAGGACTCCTTTTTATAGTGAGAATTGTCTTTCTTCAGCTGGATTTCTGCCAATTCCTGTGTAACATTATGTGTGGTAGCTTGATATTTAATTGATTTAAATGCAATTTAATTTAATGCACTGAATTAATGCCCTCCTTGTAACCATGCTCTTTATCCTGTAGCTTTCTAGCCCCTCCCACACAGCTTTGGCCATATGACTTGTATGGACCAATAGGCTGTTAGCAAATGGGAGGAAAACAAAGGCACGGAAAACACGTGTGCACTTCTGCTTCCTTTCTTGCTTCTCTGCAATTTCCTGTGATAACAGGAACCCACAGGCTAGCCTCATAGAGTGATGTGACAGACTCAGGGAGGAGAGCCGAGTGATGTCAGCAGAAGCCACCTCTGGCCAGCCAGTCCTGGTCCTCATGTTGGCACACCTCAGAAAATGAATCAGCCTGGCAGAGGTCAGCAAGTCTCCAGTTCAACCCACAGATCTGTGAGAAATTTAAAAAAATACTTCTGCTTTCAGACCCTGAGTTTGGGAGTGATTGTTATGCAGCATTACCATGGCAATAGCTGAGAGGTAGCGAAGGGGATAAGTGAATATTTGAATTTTTTGTTGTTGCCAAATTTGAACTAATAATCCATCTTGTGATATTGATGTGGGCTCAGCGAGCTGAGGAGTCAAAAGAAAGATTTCTTGGACTCTCAAGGTCTGGCAGTAGTGCTCTTTTATTCAGAGAATAGTGTGGAATAGCACGGGGACAGGACCCATGGGCAGTGAAGAGCTGCAGGCATGGGGACAGGACCCATGGGCAGGAAGAGCTGCTGTAACGGGTTGACTGTTAGAGCTAAATTTATAAGGCATAGGTATGTGAGTTATCTCTTTACAAGACAAAGGAAAGAATATGTAAAAAAAAGTCAGTGCAGGTGGGGTCTGGTTATCGGATGGTCCTATAACTTTAGATAAGAATTAGATCAGATTAAGTCAGGATGTTCTATGCTTCCTGATTAAGAGTTTCTAGAGATAAGGTCATCCCTGCTTCCTCCTGGTACAGAGAGGGAGACACCCACACAGGTGGAGACTTCCTTCACAAATGCAAATGTCTCTCATCAAAGGGCAAGCAAATTCCACTCCTCAGAGCCTCCTTCCAGTCTGCAGTTTCTAAAAGTAACCAGCCCAAAGTAATCCTCATCAATACAACACAAGTACATCTTGCTATTGCAGAAAGAATTTGCCATTTGACAATTCTATGCCTTATGCCAAAATGTGACATTCCCTAAAACTTTGCTTGGAGGCTGGGACTATCGGGGAGCTGCCCTGTCTCTCCCGTGATCTCTGTAGGAGTCCAGGCACCAGCTTGTCTCCTTGGTCTTGGGGGTGGGGTGGGATCAATTTCTTCCCTTCTGCACAAAACGGGGCATCCGCTCCTGGATTTTTGGCCATCCTATCTCAAGCTAATCCTACGTGGACTCCAAGAAATCAAGTTTGTATGTTTGATATTATATTGTTTTACTCTAAAGCTTTAATAAATTTTCGTTTGTCTTGTCATTGAAAGAAAGTGTATTTGTGAAACTTTTAAGCTGAAAGAATGTTGATCATCTAGTCAAATAATTTTCTTATTTGCAAAAGGAGCAATTTTCTCAAAGGAAATAGCTGGGCACCGCTAGTTAATTTTTTAAAAGGCAAAAAACAGGGCTTCCTTGTTTGAGGCAGGTTGAGGGGAGCATGGCGAAGAGAATCCCTCTTCCAGTGCCTTAACTTCCCCTTTCCCACATCATCTCCCAGAGGAGCCTTATGGCATCACAGACACACCCTGGACAAGGGCTTCTCAATCTTTAACAAGTACAGGTATAGGAACCACCTGAAGTCTTGTTAAAATTCAGATTCAATGTCTCTGGATTGGTGCCTAAGATCCTGCACTTCTGAAGCTCTCCGGTGATATAATGCAGCGAATGCAGAGCACGCTTTGAGTGAGAAGGCCCTAGAACACTGCAGAACAACTCAAAAAACACTGACTTTTCCAAGTAGCTCCTTTTGCAGAGAGGGAATGTGACTCCAGGAAGGTCACATTTAATGTCAGGGCTGGGACTCCTCACACACACAGCAATGCTCTCTCTTCCTCATCTCTCTATATGACCCAAATCCCCGCAGGTCCGTATCAGACAATAAAAGTACCAGTTAATAAAACTGCTGACCCAGCCCTCATACATGCATTTTCTTTCTGCTAAGATGTTTTAACTCACCAAAACAATCTTTGGGTTTAAAATCAACTAGTTCCAAGAACTCTCAAAGAAAAATGATACAGGCAAAGACTTCTAGTTTAAAGTAGCATCTGTTATAACTTCTTACATACCACTAAAACATATATAAATAAGAGAAGATAAGAAACCAAAACAAAACAAAATGATCACATGACCTAGAAACGAAGAGTGCTGAGTGACCTAGTCCCAGAATTAGGAAGGAATGTTCTCTCTCCATAAAGTCATTGAGGCTGGGTTGCTCATGCTTTGTTTCACGACATGGAGCAGCTCTGTTTGCCGGGGGAAAAAAGGGGAAGAAAATGCCTCCCATCAGGCTGACCTTGACTCGTTGACCCTTGGCATCCAAGCCCCCAGCAAAGCCAGCAGCCCCTTTTGGACATGGGTGTTCTTTATTGGGAGAGCTAAGTCAGGCAGTTTGGGTAGGGAATACGGTCCATTCCAGGAGAGTCATGCTAGAGGAGATCCGTTTTGATGGCACAATTGGATTAGGAGCTATACACATTAGCATTAGCTCACGTTCCGCTTGGACACGAGACAGAGTTTCCGCCATCATCAAAATGGACCGAACGCTGAGCTTAGGCCAATCCACAGGCTCTGTGCCCTGACCAGGTCCAAGGAAAAACTCACTCAACCACGGCTAAACAGAAGATGTCAACACGTGATCTCCTAAATATTCTACAGACCAAGAAAAAAAGGATGTTGTCCTAAAAAATCAGAGGATGAGCACAGTGGAAGGAAGCAGAATTTTTGACCTCCTGTGCCCATTCCGGTCATGTTCTCACCCACCCTCTCATAACTTGCTCACTCCTGCTCTTTATTCGGGTTTTCGTTTGACTGTTACCTTCTTGAAAAGTCCTTTTGTTACC